TCATTATCGCCTTAGCGCCAGGTACACTCGTATTCACAGCTTCAAAAAAAACTACCCAGATGGAGGGCTCTCATTTGATGTATCCTGTAGTCTGTAGTTGTTGTTGGTGGGCACTCCTGCGAGAGCTGCACGTCTCGAGGGCGGCTCCCCTTCAGAAGTGGTGCTCTCGCGTGAAAGTTCTTCACCCCTCGTGACCAGAAAATCCACGTTGCGCAAAACAACAACGGACGGAAAGCAATCACGCCTCACGAACCGAAGCTCTGGCTGAACACGAAGCTTCTGGTCATAATTACTCTTTGGCATCCTTTCCGGCTGGAAGACTGGGGGATGGTACACACCATAACGGACCTATCGCCCGAATGGCAAGCCCATGGAACGCCAATGTTCCAAGGAGGCACTTCCCGCAGTGAGAAGGAATTCTTAGGATAGGCTTAAGACGAGGGCCTTGGGACGGGAAGATGTGTTGCTGCATCGTTGATGCATCTTGGGCTTACTACCGTCACCCACGTCCTCATGTCCCCCTTCCGCTTCTCCCCTCGTCCCCTGAAGGAGTGACAAAGCGGGAAGGAGGGAAGGAGGGAGGGAGGGAGGCAGGGAAGAGAGGAGAACAGATGGAGGGGGCGAAAGGAGGACGGTCCAGTTCGCCAGGCCGAACGGGTCAGCGAGCCCCGCCCATTCCCACCCTCCCTCCCTCCTGAGACATAAGAACCAACGCTGGCGCATCTTGAAGTTGGGACTGGCGCGCGTTCCCACTTAGCAAGCCGAAGGCGCTAGCGCGCAGCCTCGCTTCCTACGATCTGGCGAGGAGAAAAGCACGGGCCGAGCACTCGGGCGGGAGCGGACGTTGCAGAAATTCCTTGCGTAGCGCTCTGGCGAGAGCATCATTCATCCCTCTCGCGCTCGGCCAAATTTCCGATGAGTGGCGAAGGCGAAAACAAACTATGCGTCGCGCGAGCAAGACAATCCCACTTTCACGCGAGGTCTGCGCGGCGCTGTGGCAAGAGCAACATTTCGTGGTTCCTCTACCGCTTTCGGACGACTGGGCGAGCGAACAAGATGCGCCGAATTGAACGGGAAACGCGCCATTTTCGCACGAAGTCTACACGGGGCGACAATACATCCACCCGCGCGCAGCCCCGCACCCAACGACAGGGCGGACGAGAAATTGGAACGTGCCAAAGCGGCAGCGCCACTTTCAGGCGAAATCGGCGCGGCGATTCGGCGAGAGCTCGCACGACCCATTGTCAACAGATTGGCGAGCGAAAAGGCACGCCTCACCCCAGCGGGAGCTCCAATCGCCGAGACGAGAACGACATTTGGCACTCTCGAGCGCAATGCGCGCCGCGTCCCACTCCCTCCACGCCGCTTGCAACGTCGACGACAAAACAGCCATGCCAAAAGTGAAGAAATGCTCCCTGTGATGATCCCTGATGGGTGTGATGAGAAGGACCTGGATGGGGTGGGGCGATCGGCCCGCCTGGTGGCAGAGCGGGAGCGCACACAAACAGGAAGTGGGGACAGAGGGGGGGAAAGGTGGAGACTCCCCCAACGCCTCCGCCTCCTCTTGCTGCTGCGAATGGCATGAAGAGACGGAGTCTGTTGCCACCAAATCCTGCCCACCCATCCCTGGCTGCGGGCCCAGAGGTGGGCGGGAGGTTGAACGAAAGACAAATCAGCAGCGTGAGAGCGCCAGAGGTCCTCCTCCTCCTCCTCCTCCTCCTCCTCCTCCTCCTCCTCCTCCTCCTCCTCCTCCCCCCCCTCCTCCTCCTCCTCCTCCTCCTCCTCCTCCTCCTCCTCCTCCTCGGGAGCCGTTTCGTTTGGGGGAGTGGGGCAGGCAGGCTGTCCGCGCCCGGCGGGACGGGGCGCCCAGGGTCCTCGCTCGGCCGTGCCGCCACCACGCGCAGGGCCGAGGCCAAGGCGAGCACGACACCGCTCGCTCGTGGGCCCGCCACTCGGGGGAGACCTCCTGCGAGTCTCGAGGGCTCTTGGCGCGGCAGCCACGCACGCTCTGGGCTCAGAAAGAGGGAGCACACGGCGAGCTGAGCTTTGTCCCTGTTCTGCAGCGCGATGCGCCGGTGTTCTCGCTGCTCCAGGGCTCAAGGTTCCAGCTTGGACCACTCGGGGCACGAGGCAGGAAGTAGGAGCAGGATCTCGCCGTGACGCGACCCAAACCTCAGAAACTGGTGGCGCGAGATCAATCGTGCGGAACGCACTCCTTCGCTAGCTTCCCAAGGCCGGCTCCACACATGCGAATCCGACCTGGCTCCCAAGTCGCACCGGCGTCAGGTCTGGAAGAAACATGGAAAGCAGGCAGCCATACAGCACGCGGCACTGCTGTCTGCCAATCAAACTGTTCGACCATTTCAAGCTCCGCCTGGGGGCGACTCGTCAATGAGACTGCTTCCCAGACGAGGGAAATGGTCGCGGTCGTCAGCCGCGTCTTCTACTCTGAAGCGAGCCTGAACTCTGTTGCCCTGCAAGCATGCAAACTAGCACGAACCTGTTGAGCAGCGCCTGCATACTACACTGTGTTGCGATTCATCGCTGTTCCAACAAAGGGCCTCATAATCTAAGGTGTGCAACATTATGGCAGCCCGATTGGACCATATACGCCGAAAATATAATCGTAGCAGCCGCACGAAAGACATGCTATTCAGCTCACTTCGGAGTTTGGGGATAATGAGGCTGGACAAACGGACGGATCCTCACCATCTCCTGCCTGGTGGTGGGGTCAAGCTAATGTTCAGCTCAACCAGCCCGAGAGAGCTGCAAACGCACTGTCGAAATTAAAGCAAGCATAAAGTGTTCTCAACACAGGCGGCAACTCCTTCTTCGAAAAAGGCTTCGGGAAAGTCAGGGAGATGTGCGGCAAAACTCCGTAGCACGCGATATTGTCGCCTGCCTCAACTACCCGCGACTTAACCTCAACCTTCACTAAAATAATGCCTAGGCTCTTGGCAGGCAGGAGATTGCCACAACCGGCAGCGCAACGTGACCCCCGCCTCGTGGCAGAGCTTCATAGCTCAGCAACCTAGCACGGGATCTAGTGCATACAGCCTTCCGATGCGCAGCGAGCACAACCCTTTGAAACACTGACAAAGTTGGACGTTAGACTAGACAACCCTCCGGAAACACAAGCCCTCCACTATGCTCAACCAAGTCCCGAGCTCCCGCTGAAGACTACGCTGCACAGCTTTGTGGAGGAGCCTGATTTTAGCAGGAGAGATCTGGGTGCGGAGGGTCAATACCTTGTCCACCCCGCAAAACGGTGCAAGACGACATGGTCCGAGAAATGGTTTCAAGGGACTTCCACCTGGCACTGAGGGGCCCACTAACGCTCCTCCAGAGCCCAGAAGGGGTCCCGAACACTGCACACGGTTTGAGGGCATTGCCCGCCATCAGCCGCCGGGACAATTCGAGATCTGTGACCCCAGTCACTTCAACACAGTCCACCGCGGCAAAAACATGTCTTGCAACGATTGCCCCCTTATGGCAGGGCGGAGGCGAGCCAAAAGCGTGGTCCGCTCCGAAGCTTTACGAAGACGTTGGTTCTTCTTGGTAGCTCTGTTGCACCTACCAACACAATCTTCAACCCCGAGGCTTGGAGCAGAGACTAAATCCACCAACGATTTCAACAAGCCTCATATGGCCCGAGCCAGCAGATAGAGATAGGAGCGAGGAGAAGGCAAGGCGGCGAGTGGGGGAAGGAAACAAGCCTCACCCTCCCCATCCGCCTCTCATCCTCCTCCTCATCCTCCTCCTCCTCCTCCTCCTCCTCCTCCTCCTCCGTGTTGTGCTCGTCGGCTTGCTCCTCCCCTCATCCGAAGAGTGCACGGATGGCCCTCGTTTGGGCGGTCCGTGTGCACTGCACGGGCACCACCTCAGGGTCACCTACACACGTCAGCTGGGACCTGTCATTCAGGTGCAACTGCCGAAGAGACCCCGCGAGCTCCGCCGCCGCCACCGCCTCCTCCTCCGTTTCTTCCTCCTCCTCCTCCTCCGCCTCCTCCTCCGCCTCCTCCTCCTCCTCCTCCTACTCCTCCTCCGCCTCCGCCTCCGCCTCCGCCCTCACCTCCGCCTCCACCTCCGCCTCCGCCTCCCCCTCCGCCTCCTCCCCCGCCTCCTCCTCATCCTCCTCATCTACTCCTCCTCCTCCTCCTGCTGCTCCACCTCCTCCTCCTCCTCCCCTCCTCCTCCTCTCCTCCTCCTCCTCTCCTCCTCCTCCCCTCCTCCTCCTCCTCTCCTCCCCCTCCTCCTTCCTCGTCATCCTCATCCTCATCCTCATCCTCATCTCATCCTCATCCTCCTCCTCCTCCTCCTCCTCCTCTCCTCTCCTCATCATCATCATCATCATCATCATCATCATCATCATCATCATCATCATCATCATCATCATCATCATCATCATCATCATCATCAATCATCATCATCATCATCATCATCATCATCATCATCATCATCATCATCATCATCATCATCATCATCATCATCATCATCAGCATCATCATCATCATCATCATCATCATCATCATCATCATCATCATCATCATCATCATCATCATCATCATCATCATCATCATCATCATCATCATCATCATCATCATCATCATCATCATCATCATCATCATCATCATCATCATCATCATCATCATCATCATCATCATCATCATCATCATCATCATCATCAGCATCATCATCATCATCAGGCATCATCATCATCAGCATCAGCATCAGCGTCATCATCATCGTCATCATCATCATCATCATATCATCATCATCATCATCATCATCATCATCATCAGCATCATCATCATCGTCATCACCACCATCATAATCATCATCATCATCATCATCATCAGCATCAGCATCATCATCATCATCATCATCATCATCATCATCATCATCATAATCAGCATCAGCATCATCATCATCATCATCATCAGCAGCATCAGCATCAGCATCAGCATCAGCATCATCATCATCATCATCACTACCACCACCACCACCACCATCATCATCATCATCATAATCATCATCATCATCAGCATCATCATCATAATCATCATCAGCATCATCATCAGCATCAGCATCATCATCATCATCATCATCATCATCATCATGAGTATCATCAGCATAATCATCATCATAATCATCATCATCATCATCATCACCCTCATCATCATCATCAGCAGCATCAGCATCAGCATCAGGATCATCATCACCATCATCACCATCATCATCAGCATCAGCATCATCATCATCAGCAGCAGCATCAGCATCAGCATCAGCATCAGCATTATCATTATCATCCTCATCATCATTATCGTTATCGTCATCGTCATCGTCATCATCAGCATCTGCATTATCAACATCAGCATCATCAGCATAAACATCAGCATCATCATCAGCAGCATCATCACTATCGTCGTCGCCGTCATCGTGATCGTCATCATCAGCATGAGCAGCATCATCATCAGCAGCATCCTTATCATCATATTTGTCATCATCATAATCAACAGCAGCATCGTCATCATCATAATCAGCATCGGCATCATCATCAGCAGCAGCATCGTCATCATCAGCATCACCATCATCACCATCATCATCATCATCATCATCATCATCATCAGCCTCAGCTTCAGCCTCACCCTCCGCATCAGCATCAACATCAGCATCGTGATTATCATTAGCATCCTTTTAACCTCCACCTCCTCCTCCTCCTTCTCCTCCTCCTGTCCTCCTCCTCCTCCTCCTCCTTAGTCTTTTCCTCCTCCCCCTGTGTGAGGCAGGCGGGGGCCTGTGTGCGCGCAGTCAGGTAGACATCCCAAGGGTTCTTCTTCATGGACCGCTCCTCGGTTTCTCCTCGTCCACCTCATCGTCACAGCCAACGTCATCGTCATCGTCGCCAGAATGCCCTGCATCACCACTCAAGCATGCACAAACTCAGCATCGGGTCAATATCATCATGATGACAATCCCTGTAATCAGTCTAAACGTGCGCAGCTTCACGTCGGCATCCTCATCCTCATCCTCATCCTCATCCTTATCATCATCCTCATCCTCATCGTCATCATCAGCATCATCATGATCATAATCATACTCACACCTTCATCATCATCATCGGCATCACTTTTACAATCATCGTCATGGCCCTCGTCATCACCATCACCACAATCATCATCACCGCCACCATCACCATCATCATCACAATCACCACCATCGTCATCATCATAGTCGTCGTCATTATCGCTAACATTATCAGCATCATCACCAACACCAGCATCATAATCATCATCAACATCACCATCATCAATATCATCAGTATCATCAACATCACCATTTTCATCATCGTCGTCGTAATCATCATCATCACCATCATCACCATCATCACCATCATCATCATCATCATCATCATCAGAATCATCCTTACCATCACCATCATCATCGCAATAGCCCTCGCCACCACCACCACCGAACTTAGCATCCAGCAGGACGTGTGGGCAGAAGAGTGCGCAATTGGCAACTGTTCGGAAAATACAATGGGGACGACGGCGCGGACCGTGAAGCCGAAGCAACGAACGTCACAGGCGCGAGCGCTTCACGACTGCGAAGCGGAAGCCACAGCGCCCGACTGTGAAGCAGAAGCTGAACTGTTCGCACGCTTGGACCACAAGACGGAGGAAGGAGGCGGGAGGGAGAGGGGAAGGGGGGAGAGCAACGTTACACATACAGGCTACAACTGTTCCGTAAGCGACTGCTCTGACGAAGCCCTCTGATCCAGGGGCCGGCACCTCTTGCGACGCGCAAGCCAATATCTCAGAATCCCGCTTCACTTGAAAAATACGCGTTTTGCAAGGCTTGCGTCGCACGTAGACATTTGAGTATACAATTTGTTCCGGCTCGAAAGAAGCATCTGCGACAGCCGTTTCGCTGAGCAAATGGACCCGGGCACTTGAGTGGACACGGCATCGCCGTCGTTCCCGCGGCTCGTCGGCCGCGGCGACGCCCTGCCAGCGGCAGCGATGCCGGTGCGCGGCGGGCGGGGCGCCCCGCCACGTCGCGACAGCGCCACAGCGGCACGGGGGACGGCGCCCCGACAGAAACTCCACGCGCGCTCAGGAGAGGACACGCGGGCTCGGAGGCGCTGGCGCGGACCCCACCTGGGTCGGTGCCCCAACCCTGGAGATTTTGGGCCGAGCACCGGAAACACAAAAACGAGTCGGAAAGTCCCAACCCAGGAAAGGGAAGACCCAACCCTGGAACAGGTGCCCGTAGCCGTAGCCCACCCCTGGAAAAGGGGAACGCCCAACCCTGGAAATCCCCGCCCGGACGTTGGAAAGCACGGCAGATGGATGAGGAGGAGGAGGAAGAGGAGAAAAAGGAGGAGGAATACAGGAAGAGGAGGCCCGTGCCCGGCACGGCGGATGATGCCGCTGCGCAGCGCGCCCCGCTGGCGCCGAGCGGCGGGCGCCCCGAGCACTGAAGCACAGGAACAGAAGGAGGAGGAGAAGGAGGAAGAGGAATACGAGGAAGCGGGGGCGCGTTGCCTGGCGTGACAAACGACGCCAAACAAATAGATGTCTGCCGATTGCTCGATGAATTCCAAACGAACCCAAAATCACCGAAATGAAATCGGGCACGTCGGGCACCGTGTGCGCGCCATCTCTTGGCTGACATCGCCCGACCTGGAACTGTGATTTCTGTCGGTTACTGGTATTCTTCCGAACAAACCAAAATTCACCAAATTAGGTCGGGCAGCCCGTGCACGCCATCTGTTTGCAGACAGCGACCGACATGGAACGGTGATGTATACAAGTTGCCCGGTGCAGATCCAAATCACCAAATGAGGTCGAACCACCTGTGCGCGCCATCTGTTCGCAGACAACCACCAAACTAGAACACTAATTTCTGCTGTTTGCCTGGTGACTCAGACCAGGCCCATAATCACAAAAGTGGGGCGTACCGTGTGACGCTGTAAAAGAGAGAGAGAGAGAGAGAGAAAAAACAAAAACAAGAGAGAGAGAGAGAGAACAAAAGAGAGAGAGAGAGAGCGAGCGAGAGCGAGGGAGAGAGAGAGAGAGGGACAAAAAGAGAGTCAGGGTGAGTGCCAGAAACAGATAGACGAGAACGAAAGACAGAAAGAGAGAGAGAGAGAGAGAGAGACAGAGAGAGACAGAGAAAGAGAGAAAGAGAGAGACCGAGACCGAGAGAGAAAGAGAGATAATGAGAGGGAGAAAGGGAGGAATAAACACACAGGGGAATATATCAACAAACGCGTGGGAGACAGACCGAAAGAGAGCGAGAGGGCGATAGACGAACAAACATGATAGCAAACGGGAGAAGACACGCACACCAAACAATTTTGAAAGTGATACCTGAAAAATGGACTTACGTATTTATGTGTAGGGCGACAGTCATGGAAAAACAAAAAGCGAATTATGCTAACGGAGTTCCCCACATAAAGATGTTACGGGGTTCCATTGCTTCTTGTCTGCGCTCTGGTGGGGCCTCCCTGGAGGGGTGGGAGGGGCACGAAACCTGATGAATAATATTGTGTGCGAATACCCTGCCCGCTCTGGTGGGGCCTCCCTGGAGGGGTGGGAGGGGCACGAAACCTGATAAATCCGCCGATCCGGCGTGTGAGTTTCAAGGAGTCTCAGCTACAGCCTCGAGGCTGAGCTTCAGCCTCTGGGGGGGTCGCCGGGGTGGCTCTGCCGGGGAAGGGGGGGTGGGGGGGGGGGGGGGGGTGCGAGTTTCCGGCGAACCCCGGGGCCGCTCCGGGGGAGTGGAAGATAGGGGGGGGGGGGGCGCCATGCTCCGCTTTTTCCGGCGCTTTGGAGGAGGGGGGGGGCCCAAGAGACCCCCAAGGGGTTCCAAGAGGGCCCCGAGTCGCCGAAAAATCGCTCCAAGACGCCCGAGATGGCCTCCAGACGGCCCAAGGTGTCTCCAAGACGCCCCAAGAAGCTTCCAAGAGGCCTCCCAAGAGGGCCCCAAGAGGCCAGAATCGTTGATTTTCATTGGTTTTCTCAGGGTTTTTAGCGTTCTTGCCTTTTCGGGCGTCCGACGCTCGAAGACGGCCCAAGAGGCCCCCAAGTCCGTCCCAAGACGGCCCACGATGCTTCCAACACGGCCCAAGAGAGCCCCAAGACGGCCCAAGAGGGCCCCAAGACGGCCCAAGAGGGCCTCTGGACAGCCCAAGAAGGCCCCAAGAGAGCCCCAAGAGGGGCCCAAGAGGGGGACCACGAACCGAAAGAACCGAGCTTTCCGCCCCAAGAGGCCCCCAGGAGGCCCCAAGAGACCCCCAAGGGGCCCCAAGAAGCCCACAAGAGGCCCAAAAGAGGTTCCAAGAGGCCCCAAAACAGCTCCCCAGAGGCCTCCAGACTGCCTCCGGCAGGCCCCCGGTTTCTTCCGCGGCACCGCCCAGGGCGCCACCGGCAGGATGTCCTCCGTCTCATCGTTTTCCTTCAAGTTATCGCCTCTTCCTCATTCTCCTCCTCCTCCTCTGCGACCTCACTCCTATCCCTCAACGATCGCGTCACCGAGTGCCTCTTCTTTGAAACATCCTCGCTCTTCAAACGCACATCCATACACACATGCATACATACCTACATTTAAACACATTTGCATACATAGAAAAACAATCTTCCAGACATACATACTTACATTCACACACATACACACATATTATCATACACACATACAAACATACATACAAACTAAATACATACATACGCGCACAAGCATACATACATACATACGTACCTACACACAGGCACACATGATCAATGCATGCATACATGCATGCACGCGTACATACACACACATATATCGTGAAACTCACCGCGTGCTCGAAACTTGAGAGAGACCGCGGGAAGTCGAGAGAAGCCGCGGAACGAGGCCTCTACTACTACTACCACTACTACCACAACCTACTACTACTACTACTACTACTACTACTACTACTACTACTACTACTACTGCTACTACTACTACTACTACTACTACTACTAATACTACTACTAGTACTACAGGAGCGTTTCCCAACTAGTATGTGTGTGTGGGTGATGCTGTGTGCGCATGTCTGCGGCGCAGGTTAAGTGGTGTGACTGTGTGTGTGCGTTTGAGTGTGCGCCCATAATTTCTGCGTCTGGAGAATAACCCCGAGCGACCCGGATCGGCGGCACTGGCCGAAGGCCACTACAATAATATGGTGCGCGAATACCCTGCCCGCTCTGGTGGGGCCTCCCTGGAGGGGTGGGAGGGGCACGAAACCTGATAAATAACATGGTGTACGGATACCCTGCCCGCTCTGGTGGGGCCTCCCTGGAGGGGCGGGAACGGCACGAAACCTAATAATAAAATATGGCGTGCGAATACCCTGCCCGCTCTGGCGGGGCCTCCCTGGAGTGGCGGGAGGGGCACGAAACCTCAGAAATAATATGGTGTGCGAATGCCCTGCCCGCTCTGGCGGGGCCTCCCTGGAGGGGTGGGAGGGGCATGAAACCTGATAAATCATATGGTGTGCGAATACCCTGCCCGCTCTGGCGGGGCCTCCCTGGAATGTTGGGAGGGGCGCGAAACCTGATAAATAACATGGTGTGCGGATACCCTGCCCGCTCTGGTGGGGCCTCCCTGGATGGGTGGGAGGGGCACGAAACCTGATAAAACATATGGTGTGCGAATACCCCGCCCGCTCTGGCGGGGCCTCCCTGGAATGTTGGGAGGGGCGCGAAACCTGATAAATAACATGGTGTGCGGATACCCTGCCCGCTCTGGTGGGGCCTCCCTGGAGGGGTGGAGGGGCACGAAACCAGATAAATAACATGGTGTGCGAATACCCTGCCCGCTCTG